CTCTTGGATGGTGCAGAACTCGAGGATGCACCCGATCTCTTTGACGTCTGAGCTCGTAAATCTCCAAATCTCTCATTTTGAGCTCTTTTCAGAGCTTTAGCACGATTCACCACTTCTTGAAATGACGATAGATTCAACACAATTAACATTTCTTTTATTCTTGGACGCAAACCTTCTACAAACCAATTGCAAGCATCCTTTTCCGTAGGAATAAGCTCAGTAGCAAAGCGGCTTAGTCTATTGAATTCGCACTCGTACTCATACACTGTACGACTTCATTATTTCAAACTCATAAACTCTTGTTTCATCTGCCGCATGAACTGATCTCCGATGTACTTATGCTTAAATTCTTTTAAAAAGAAAGACCAAGTTACTTGATCACCAGACATCCTCAAGGTAACATTGGTCCACCAAATTCTCGCTTACCCTCGGAGCAAGGAGACTACTCCATCCAATTTCTCAGCTTCAGAATAGTGAAGTCCTTCAAGCATAATCTTTACGTCATTAAGCCAAAGGTCCGCAGTAACAGGACCTTCTTCGGCTTCACCTCTAAACTATGGGGCTCCTAAACTCTTCAACTCCTTTGCAACATTCATTCTGGGAGTGGAAGAAACAGAAGGTTGAAAACGCCCTAATACCGCATCCAGTGTTCTAAAGAACACATCTTGTTCACCTCTAGGCACTCCAGAGGGTGCCTGCTCTTCACTCTACCTGGCCAGGGCAGGTGAATTGCTGCTCTCAGCGGGCCTATCATCTCCCGCTTCACTCTTAGAGCTACCATGTCCGGACATCTATAATAATATAATCATATCATTCTATTAGCAAAACAACATACTTACTGTTATATCAGATCAAAAGTTCTCACTATTTTATTGGCATGTACACATTATAAGATACTTTAGACACCGGTTCATGCTGAGAATCGACTAAACCATAGCTTTGATACCATTAAATATAACACCCCAACCCGTATCCGACCCGAATACGAGTCTGAGGTGTCACCTTGACTTTTCAAACTTTGACACTTATTGAAAAACAAGGAAATTTAAAAACTTTCATTCAAAATAAAGACTGTTAATTTACAAAAATTGACCATACTACACAAAATCGATCAGAGCATTTATAACTCACAAATTGTTTACATGCCAACACACTAATTACTACAAAATACCTACATTGCAAGTTACTCCTGATCTGATCCTTCCTGTAAAGTATATTGTCCACTAAGCTCTTAATTATGATCTTCCTTCTTCTTGGCACCTACGTGTAAATCACGTACACGCTAAGTCACAGACTTAGTGAGGCAATAAATGAACATGTAACAATAAATTCATGAATATGCACCCTTACCTTTTTATCATGATATTTCAATGTACATATATATTATATGATAACATATGTAAACATGATATGCACATCTGAACTTTACTTCTTATACACTTTTCCATTCCATTTATCTTTAAATTGCCCATGTACATTATTGAGAACAGAGGTACTTGAGTAAATTGAGGTTGTGCACTAATACTGTCACCACAGCTAAATAAATTCCCTCATGGGGGGGCACCGAACATTCGTTCAGTATTTGTCCCGAAGGACCACTATGTCCCGAAGGACCACTGATTGGTCCGAAAAACAACTATGTCCCGAAGGACCACTGTATATCCCTCGACTCTTGGCATGCCAATTATACCCACATTTCTCATATTAAAGGACATGGACTTAATTAAAATTCTCATTATCATATCACTGCTATCACTTCTCATATAACACATAATTTATTTCATATACACATGATTCTTTTCAATATTCACATACCTGTATCATATTACCCTTGCAATGGCATTTGTTCACATAATATCATATTAAAGCATAATAAATTGTGCACAAAATCACTATAACAATAATGCATGTATGCATATACATGAATATGAAATTATGAATTCAACTATCAGACATAGACTTATCACAAGTCTTATCTCCATACACTTAAACCATAAGATGCACTCACCTTAGCCTTGCTCGTTTTGACTCGATATTAATCCTTTGATTGTTCCGGAACAGACTTACGTTTTATATCTACATAGTAATACATTAATACATATCAGTATACTAATTAATATATGCTAAACTATCACTTCTTATTCTAAAAGAAAGGATAACTTTATCTTTAATGAGGGTATGCATCGATGCACTCTACAGTGTATCAATGTATTCCTTAACGGGTGCATTGATGCACTACTTATGCATCGGTGCACGAATCACATTCGATGTTTTTATTCAATGGGGTGCATCGATGCACTCCTTATGCATCGATGCACTAATGGCATTCGATGTTTTAATTTTATCAGAGTGCATCAATGCACAGAGCCCAGAATTGTTATTTTAATCACAAAATTCATCCCTTTTTCTCCCCAATTCTTCTTATTTCACTTCCTTAAATGTTTCTAACTTGCATACATATACTTACACTCATTACTACTCAATAATCACTTCTTTAAACTTAAAATCCAAACTTCCACATAGAATTCAAGAATTTCACCTCAATTCCAACATGTTCAAAATCTAATTTCAACACTTCATATCCTTTAATTAGATAGATGACAAGTCAAATTTAACTTATTATTCCAATTATGAACTCTATTTCGAAACTTCATTCACAAACTCCAAATCTTTAAATCCTCCTACACTCTTCATTTTGTTGTTTTGAAGCAAATTAAGCTTTCCTTAATCTTACTTATCACCTAATAGTCAAAACTCAACTTAAATTTCAGCACATAATCAGCTTAAAAGAAATCTCACCTTTGCTTAGCTTCACACGTGAAGAACAAGAAGAGAAAGGAAGAGAACTCTGGAAGCTTATGTTTTTTCTTCCTTCTTCCACTTGTAACTAATATAAATATAAGAAATCTTAATTAATTTCCCTTACAAATGACCATTCTATCCTTCAATTTTATTTTTCCTTGCAATTCAACCCTATACCAAATTTAACACTATTCAATCATTCTATTTTAATCACCACATTCTGAAGTTTTATAATTTAGTCACTAACCCGATATTGAGGCTGTTACAAGTTATGTTAAACCCGAGTCACGCTATTGTCTTGCCCGTGTATACGAGTAAATATCTTAAAAATGCCATCAAAAACCTATTTTACAGTAGTGATTGCTAACTAAATTTTTTAATAAAAGATAAACTGAAAATGTTAGAAGGAAGATAATATTTCAGGTTGCGTCCAACTTAAAATATTATGATTTTTATTATATTTTTAATTACCTATAAAATTGGCATTTTTAATCTTAAATTAGATTTTTCATTCCATATACTTCCTCTTAAATTACTTGACTATTTCCGGGTGAAACTTCACATCCAGGAGACGTACAAAATAATGATGATTGAGATGAATTAGACAAGAAGAATCAATGCTCAACAACACTTAATACAGTATGGTATGACATGTCTAATCAATTCATATAACTCACCCAAATGAAGTGTCAAAAGCTTTTTCATCTGCTACCTCAAGAAGAATCAATGTTCAACAACACTTATTGTTTACAGTATTATATGACTGGCTGACACAGACTCTTATTTTCCTCCAACTGTAGCAAACCCCGACCTCTTTAAATTCATTTCCCATTCCTTTTTCCATCGCAAATGCCAAGAATGAATGATCATCTTCAGATACATTTGATGCAAAAACACCGTAAAAAAGCTCCAGTTTTTTTTCTACTCCGCCTTCTCTCTGAATCTTATGTAATAGAATTCATCCTTTATCCATTGCCCGTCTTTGAAATCGCTTTCCATCCCCAACCTTTTCAGCTCTTGTCATGTGTTTCATTAAAAAGAAAAACACCCAATTCTTTTATTTTTCTTCTCTTTATCAAAACCTGAAGCTAGTATACTGAAAGGAAAAAAAAATATTAAACCCAGAATATACAATGGAAAATACAAGCAACCCACGTGGAGAATTGTTCAAAACACGAAATTTGATGTATATTAAAGGAAGGAATAGAAACTCTTAAGTATCTTGAAATAGCTCCAAAAGATGGTGGATAATTGGTGGGGGCGAGATTTTATATCAGAGGATAATGACTTATAAAATTTTAAAAGAGATATAAATTTATAAAATTTTACGGAGAGATGAAAGCAAATTTTTAATAAAAAAATATTTAAGATATATAAAAATTAAAATTTTTAAAAAAATCGACCACCTTCTTCTAAATTCATCTCTAAACTGGAGTAACTAAGGATTTTGCAGCTTCTACTTTCAGCTTAATAGCTAGGGAGATTTTGTTTACGGAAGCCCAAAACTAGGGAAGAAAGCTTTTGGGTTAAAATGTTTATGAATTAAATAGATATAATATAAAATTATTTTTAATGTTTATATAAATGGTTATTTTGATTTTGGATTTTTTAAAATATTTTAATTTTTGTTTAAAGTGCGTCTTGTTAAAAAAATATTATTTTATTAATAAGGGTAAACTACATAAATGGTCACTAATGTTTGAGTAAGTTTTCGTTTTAACTATTGATGTTTCAAAAGTCACAAATCAGTCACTAACTTTATCGTTTGTTACAAATTGGTCACTCGATGTTAACAACCGTTAACAGGCGTGACGGAAAGCACACGTGGACCGTTATCTACTTACCTATATGGTTGATCGCCATAGTGAAGAACTGTTGGAATCCCTTTGACCAGTGTTTTACCAAATATTTAATGAAAGTTTAATTAATAAATAAATTAACGAGGAAAATCAAGGTTTAATAATAATAAAAGAAAAAGGTCTAACCCTTTTCAAATCTTTAAACCTTTTCTTCTTTCATTCCTCTATGAGAGAATCAGTTTCAAAGAGGGTTTGAGAGAGAGAAAGAGAAATCCACAATTCTTCTTCACTTGAGACTGAAACTTGTTCACTCATCGAAAACCCCAAGCAACGAAATAGCCAAAATCGTATTCCCATCTCTGCATAAGCTGTGAAAAAAGGCGTATATGGAAACTCACCATTGATAACAAGCTTCCTCTGGTTCAAGTTCCCAAAAAATGAACATTTCATTCTAGGATGAACAAGCTTGAGGTACTTGGCTATGGAGAACTTAACAAAAGAAAAATATGGGTTTTGAACTGGAAAGGATTTCGGCTGAGCATTTTTCAAGCTCTTGAATTCGTTGAAATATTCCTCCTTTGTGACCCCGAAATCATGAGAAACGAAGCCTTCTAACATTGTTTTACACACAAATAATTCAAAGACAAAGCATCGATGGATTTGCTTTGCTAGAATGGTAACAGGCTCAATACTTTTAACAGCTACATCAACATCCCATTTTGCTATCTCCATCTCCATCTCCTTCACCATCAACATCACGAAACTACAAACAAATTTCATTGGAAAGTACAAAACTTGAACGAAATCACTTGGATTCAACATTGTGAATTTGATATTATCGAACATTGAAAGAAGCCCACTTTCGTTTAGTTTCTTCTCCATGGATCTTTTTAAAAAGGTGCAATCTTTGAGCTATTTATGGTGTAAAGCAATGTCTGCAACTTTTCTTTCGATATCAGATTCCAGCTTCTTGATATTGATCTCGTCAGTGCACATCAAGCTTTGTTGTTCTTGGATCTCAGCGAGCATCAAACTGAATTGTTGTTAAACATCAAGCTCATGCTTTAAAAACTTGTACTTTAGCTCCGAAAGAACTTTGAGTTGTTCTATGACAGCTTGGTCGGCGGCTTGAATGGCGTCGCTGTTATAAGGGTTTTGAGCCATTTGTAGCTCGACGTAAGCAGCTTTGATGGAACTGACACTGGCGAAAACCATGGCCACCAGAGCTTCCAAGGCAACACCTCTTCGGTTAACATCGGAGCCGCCGTGGGAGCCATTTCCAATCCCATTGCTTGAAGCAATTTTTGTAGCGGTTCTCAGGTTGACGACCCTTTGAAAAGTTCTTGCTATTTTGCTCTTATGGCTGCCATTGTTGAAAGTTGGTTGGATTGTTTCCGTTGTTGAGTTTGAGCATAAAAAAGAACACAAGAACAAAAGTGAAGATGATATGTTTGAAAAGCAACAAATAATGAACAAATTTATTATTAAACCTTGATTTCCCCCCTTAATTTATTTATTAATTAAATTTTCATTAAATATTTAGTAAAACATCGGTCAAAGGGATTCCAACAGTTCTCCACTGTGGCAGTCAACCATCCACGTAAGCAGATAACGGTCCACGTGTGTTTTTCATCACGCTTGCTAACGTCTGTTAACGTCGGGGACCAATTTGTAACAAACGATAATGTTAGTGACTGATTTGCGACTTTTAAAGCATCAATGGTGAAAACGAAAACTTACTCAAACATTAGTGACTATTTGTATAGTTTACCCTTTAATGATCAACACATGTTACTAACATATTTTTTAAATATACTTAATTACTAACAGAATATGTGTCACGTCATTCAAAGAAATATCGTAGTATGTGCTATGTCAATAATTAAATATATGTAAAATTATTAGTTGACTAATAATTTATTTCAGTAAGATTAATTAAAACGTTAAGAATTAAAATATTTTAAAAAAATGAATATCCCTTATTCCATGTAATGGGGTAAGGGAGGTAATTTCATCATTAGGTCAAAACACAAGTAAAGATCGGAAAATGTAAATTATTAAAAGTTATTGATAAATATTTGATAAAAATATAATACACCTTTTTCCTTAAAAAATAATAATTTTAGATTTTGATAATGTATAATTATAGAGTGTAAAAGGGATATGAATAACCAAAAAAAAAAATAATCAATGAGATTCATACTGCGAAGTGGCTTTAAAATATCTTCAGATGTTAATCTCACATCGACACAATGAAATAATATCCTACCGTCGTCTATGACTTTCCACGTGTCACCTCTGCAGTCCGTATCCTCTCCAAAACAGACTCTCAATCTGAATAACCAAAAAAAGCTTCTTTCTTTTCTTGGCTCCAATGATTGATTCTTTGATTTTGCCGATGGCTTCCATTGCTGCTAATGCCCAGTTTTCTTTGTGTTCTCGAAACTGCGGTTTCCCTAAACGTTTAGTTCCATCTAAGTGCTTCTCTTCCAGTAAGAACAAGTTGCCTCTGAGTCAACACTCGTTCCTCCAGCTCCGCCACCGAGTCTGCCCGATTCGAGCTCTTGAATCCGACGTTCCTCACCCACTTCACAAGGTAGATAACCATTTCTTTCAAAAATCTATCGACATTGACATTTCATTTATAATAAACAAGTTGATTTTTTTTGGGGTGTGTGGGTGGTTTTACACATGAGAAACAAAAAAAAAATGTTCACTTTCACTCTTTTTTTTCCCTTCAATTTATTTATTTATTTTATCATTGAGTTTTGACCAATCGAATAAGGCATTAAATTGAACCTGTAGATTTTGGGGAAATGGCAGATTAATTGGTAAGACCGTGTTTCAGTTTTTCACTGCCCAAAACTTAAGAAGATTAAAATTTGAAGGTTTCTTCTCTCTTTTTTTTCCTTATTAATATTTTTTAAGACCCTATTTTCAAAAATTAAATGTGGTGGATTACTTGCAACTTCATGATTCCAGGTTTGGGAAAGCAAAGCAAAGAAACGGAAGAGTTTTGTGGTTTAACGATTAACTTAACGGAGCTGAATTTGTGCAGGTTATGTTAAAATGTGTTCACCGTATTCTTATTTTTGTTGTAATTTGAAAGGGATCAGTGGATTTTAAGCGTAGTAAGGACTATGAGCAATGGGATTCATTGACATCTGCGTTTTCTGGGGCGGCGAATATACCCTTTTTATTGCTTCAGTTGCCTCAGATCATCCTCAACGCACGCAATCTTCTGGCTGGGAATAAGACTGCCCTTTTGGCAGTTCCATGGCTGGTAATCTACAACTTGTGGTTTACTTATGATTTATATGGGTTTTTATTATTATTTATAGTTGTTTTCTTAATATATTTTTTATGATATCTTGAATCCAAAATTTAAGTGTTCAAGAACACATCGGTGATATGAGAGCAATGGAACAATGAATTCAGCATTATTTTTTGCTTGGTGGTGGGGAACAATATGTAAATAGAAAATAGATACCAAGTTGTTTATGTTTATGTTTTGTTGTGGAATCATGTATTCGGTTTTCTCCACTTTTGGTCAGTCGAATAAACAGTACAAAAACCTGTATTTATCACTCGAGTTAGCTTAATTTTAATGGTTCCGAGCAGTAATTTATTACCTTTATATGGAACTTTGATGACCTTAAATTTTGATGTATTTCTTGAAATTTAGCAAATGGACTGGATGAAGATGTTGATTTGAGGAACCTAAGGAAGTGTTGTAAATGCAGGGAATGTGCACCGGCTTGCTGGGAAACCTTTCATTGCTTTCGTATTTTGCCAAGAAAAAGGAAAAGGAGGCAGTTGTGGTGCAAGCTCTAGGAGTGGTATCGACATATGTGGTGATTGCTCAGCTTGCAGTGGCAGAAGCAATGCCTTTCCCTTATTTCATGGCCACTTCTGTTGTTGTGGGCTCTGGACTCGTTTTAAATTTTTTGAATTATTATGATATGCTCAACACAACAATCTGGCAATTTTGGGAAGATTTTATTACTGTTGGTGGACTTTCGGTGCTTCCCCAGGTAAAACTCTTGTCCCGCTGTTTTATGCTTGCACTTAACCGCTCCCATGCACACAAACTCAAACAGGATATATTTACAGTTCATTCATTGAATTCTATATGTGTGTGTGTTTATTTCAAGTCTCTCACCTTCTTTTGAACCGTTATGGGTGCAGATAATGTGGTCCACATTTGTCCCATACATACCCAATAGCATCTTGCCAGGGGCAGTAGCATTTTTTCTAGCTGTAGCAGCTGTTACTATGGTAATATCTATATGCTTCTCTGATATCGTTAAATTTTATGTTTCGAGTGATTTGATTAAAATTTCTTTTTAACTTGCTCTCGCTGAGATTTGCAGAAACATATGGGAAAACTTTCGGAGAAAGGTGTCAAATTTGTGGGAGCTATTTCTGGATGGACGGCGACTCTCCTTTTTATGTGGATGCCAGTTTCACAAATGGTAATTCGTGTTCGAAATTCTGTATGTGAGGCTTTGATAAGTAAAATCGGCTAATTCACATGCATAGCTGACTAAAATTTGTGCTTCCTTTTCAGTGGACGAATTTTCTTAATCCTGATAATATTAAGGGCCTATCAGCAATTTCAATGTTGCTTGCTATGATTGGAAATGGACTTATGATCCCACGTGCACTATTTATTCGCGATTTTATGTGGTAATGCATTCTTTCAACCTTTTTTATTTGTATAAACTATTTGGACCCTGTGCGCACGGCAGCGAAACCAGAAAATGCTGGACTAAGCAGACTGAATTACAAGTGACATCAGAGTTCAGACTGGATTGTTATTCATTTTGTGGTTTGACTTTGTCCTAATTTTTCATGACATTGCCGAGTTTGCAGGTTCACTGGTTCTACCTGGGCAACTCTCTTTTATGGTTACGCCAACATTGTATGCTTATACTTGTAAGGAGGCTATATGATTTAGTATGAATAGGTGCAATTTTTATCATGAAAATGTCTTGATCGTTTTGTCGTTCCAGTTTCAACTCTATCGGCCGGGAATTCTTCTTTGCTGCAACGGTCGGTTTAATTTCATGGCTAGGTTGTCTCTCCACCCTGTCTAACTCGTATTTTCTATCCTATGTCCCTTTCTCATCAACTAGAGACATAAAGATGGCAAAGGGAAAACAAATCTAATGTTTTTTTTTAATACCTTAAAATTTTGATGCATCTATTTAGTTTTACCCTTTTCCAACAGGAATGGCACTATGGAGAGACACCGTTGTGCACGGATACGAATCACCGATAAGAACTTTGAAAGAGTTGGTTTTCGGATTGTAAGCTGAAGCGAGTTGCAACATTGGACTGTGGCACGAGTTGGAATGACAAAAACGACATGGTTGCATCATGTGGAGCACGAGGTATGCTTTTGCTAAGATCCCAATCTTGTTTGCAGCCTAAAGAGTTATCCAAAATGGATAGTAGTATAAGTTTCCAAGTTACCATCGATTTCATTTGCAAAGATAAGTGGTAGACCCATCAATCCATGTATTAATGTC